ATCATGAAATACTGGGATCTCAATATCTGCACCAAGTTCAAGTGGCATAAAATTTAACAGTTTTTGCCTTTTTTCAGAAAGATCATCGTTTTCCTTGCTTTTAACTTTGATTTGTACACATTCTCTAACATGACGTAGAAGTTGAGAAGTGGTTCCTGTTTTAGATTTATGGAATTTCGATCGACAACGTTTGCATTGCCAAAAAGAAGTTGCGACCCCCTTAACTGGAAATGTAGCCTCCACAAAATGCTCCCATACTGTAGACTTTCTCTTCCTACCAATCTTAGTAATGACTTCTTCAATGTTATTATCTATGACAACATGAGGAACTTTTTCTTGTTCTGTACCTTGCAAAGTAAGATTGATATTTTCGTTGCTATTACGAGCTTCTGACATAACTATCAACTTATTGCTGGATGATTCAGATTGTGATAGATCGAGTTCAGACATTTTTGCACTGTAAATGAACTCAAGAACTCATAATTAGTATCACTGTACACATACTACCAAGTCAAAAATGCATAAACATGATTCAAATAATAACTAGTAATATTTCAAAATGATATAAGCTTTTAAAAAAACATCGGTGCATTTAAATTTCTCAAAAGAATAAAAGTCAGTAATAGTATGACCGCATTGGTCTCTAGAATTTCCACCATCCATTTGATGGAGATTATTGAGGGTATTGGAATTGTTAAAGAAGAAATAAATGAAGCCACTGATTCATACATAAAAGATGAGGAATATGCGCAATATCAGTGACATGAATTTATGAAGCCACTGATTCATATATAAAAGATGAATTTATGTGCAAAATATGAAAATGAGAGTGTTCACATATTGCTCTCTCCTTCAACAGATCAAGATTGAAAGTTCTGGATAACAATTTTAACTGTGAGAATAAGTCTGTCATCACACAATCCAATACATTCAATCCTTCAAATCCAATACATTCTCTCCTTCAAAAAATCAAGATTGAAAGTTCTGGATAACATTTTTAATTCTTATCACATAATAAAAAGAAGGTTAATTTGCATTCTAAATATGCCAAGAAGAAACCAACTTGACGACATAGTAACCGAAGAAACTTCGCAGATAGAAAATATATTTTGGCAATAAGTTCGTCATTAGCATTGCCTACAATTCAACACAATATGATCAAACACGTGGGGAATAATAGTCATTTCATAAATTGAATGGTGGGTAAATTACATTTTATATTTTCCAACGAAAAACCAATTCAATGCCATATCAGTTAAAACAGTCGATCGTGCCAACACTGCCTTCTACATTTTATATTTTTCACGATCGACACTGCCGTAAGACTTGACTGAAATTCAATACAGTTAAA